TAAATATAAGCAAATGACACCATAAAAATATTAATCAAACGAACACTTATGCCAAATGTACTTGATCATAGGTCTAATTTGACTTATGTCACCACAAAAAAAATATCAATCAAATATAGACAAAAAAAAATTACAAAAATTAATTAAACTCTTTTGAGCAACAAGCTTATGAAACTTTCAAATATGAATTACTTTCATAGATACTCCCCTTATGAAAAATAATTTAACAAACATTACAAAACACATTCATTTGAACATAGGACAAATAAGATACTTAAACTAATTTTCACTTCACAACATACTCCATAAAAAAATTATCCAAACACAAAATTTATCTCCATGAAATATACATAATGCATGCCAAAAAGCATCTAGAAAGAAAACTCTAATCCAATGAGCAAAATAATGCACAATTCCTTTTCAAGAGAATTAAACAATATTTTTCAACTATCAAGAAAAATATTTCTCAAAGCTCAATATCCTCAATATCAGGCTAAAATAGACATACAATAATTTCTTCGTGGCATGTAATCTAATAGTCAATCAAGTAATAAAGATTAATACAAAAAAAAATTGCAATTTACTCGAGAGCATTAATTCACTAATCCATAATCAATCGATAGAGATTAATGTCAAAAATATTCTTGATATACTCAAAGACATTTAATCTAATAAACAATAAAATAGAAGAAATCATTTTAATTTCTCTAACGTATAAAAGAGACCAAATTTATTTAAAGAGTAAATCAATAGCATAGTAATCTCAATAAACAAAAATACCAAATACGTCATTTTGCTTGATGTGTTCAAGCAAGCTGCTATATTGCTTCAACGAAATTAATTTCTAAATTGTAAGTCCAAAGCAATTATTAGTTCCTTGTAATCATAGCTACAAAAAGAAAGCTCAACCAAACGATCTTGATACCCATTTCTTGGGTCCTTTATTGTTAGTGACCCTAGAATTTGGAATCCATTTTAAATTAGTTCCAATATTTTTAGTATTCATTTTTGGTAAATAACAAGTATTGAATTTATGATCAATTTTGCCACATGACACAACATTAGACTTCTTAACACGTTGATTTTGTACTCTACTTTTCATGAAGAAATTATTTCTTGGATCATTATTTAATTTAAATCAATTAGGCCTAATGACCTTTAACTCCACAAAAATGACAAGTAGGTACAAATTTTGATTTTACATGCATATTTCTAACATTTTTATGTTTAGGTACAACATAAGCATGTTTAGGCATAAACTTCAATATCACTTTTATGTTTATGAATAAATTTAGCACTTGTATTAAAATTTAAAACATTGAATTTAGACAAGTAACAAGAATAAGTTTTATGTCCATACTTGCCACATGAGGAACAATTAACATTATGCAAAAAATTATAAATTATTTCTTTCAACAAATTTATGCACCATACTTTTCTTTGGAAAATTTTCTTTTAGAGCATTGTGAGACTTTGCTCTTTGAGAAAATTTTCTTCTAGAAGAAATATTTTATGAATATTTCAATTTAAAGCGCTTGGGTCTAATATGACCTTCAATACCATAATGATGACATATTGGCACAAAGCTAGATTTAGCATTCTTAGAAACAACATTAAGTATATTAAGCTTAGGCACAATAGGTGATGATTTAACAAAAATAGTTTTAAAACTTGAAGGAGTAGAGCATTCATCAATGTAGTCTAATCCCCTCTTATTATCACCTACTTACAAAATTTCCAACTCTCCTACAACCCCAAGATTCCTTACCTCCACTATGAATATCCAACACCATATTGACCTTATTCCCGAGGCTACATTACCAAATCTCCCTCATTATCGTATGAGTCCTGTCGAATACAAAATACTACATGACCAAAATACTACACCTAAAAAATACGGATTTTGGCAAATGTGTATTGATAGCAGAGCTATCAACAAGCATACTATTAAGTACCGGTTCCCTATTCCTCGAATAAACGTCCTCCTATACCAATTAGGAGGTGCTCAATTCTTTTCTAAAGTAGACCTCCGAAGCGGATACCATCAAATACGCATCCGTCTAAGGGACAAGTGGAAAACAGCCTTCAAACCCAACAAAGGGTTGTTCGAGTGGCTGGTCATGCCTTTCGGCTTATCAAATGCACCAAGTACCTTCATGAGACTTATGCACTAGGTTCTTCTTTCTTACTTGCATAACTTTATTGTGGTGTATTTTGATGATATATTAGTATATAGTAAAACTCAAAATGATCACCTAGCATACTTACAAACTTTATTTACAGCTCTACACACAAACAAACTAGTTATAAATCTCAAAAAATGCTCTTTTTGGTTTTGGAGATATCATTTTTGGGATTTATAATTAGTAACCAAGGACTGAAAATGGATCCGTAAAAAATACATGCCATTTTAGATTGGCCCACACCACAATCTGTTAAGGGAATTCAATGTTTCCTTGGAATCACATCCTTTTATAGAAAATTTATTCGAAACTTCCACCATAACTAGCCCCCTTAGTGACTGTCTAGAAAAGGGCAATTTCCATTGGGGCGAGGATCAAACCAATTGTTTCCTTACACTAAAAAACAATCTTACTGAGAGCCTAGTTCTCAAACTTTCGAATTTTACCCAACCCTTGAAGTCGCAGTTGATGCCTCTAGGATTGGCATTGGAGCAGTCTTATTTCAACATCAGCATCCCATTGAGTATTTTAGCGAGAAGTTAAGTACTTCCCGATAGAATTGGAGAACCTACAAACAAGAGCTTTATGCCCTTGTTCGGGCTCTAAAACAGTGGAACACTACTTACTAAGTCGATAATTCATCTTATTTACAGACCGTTTCTCACTTAAATTCCTTCACACACAAAAATTAGTGATCAGAATGCATGTTCGGTGGCTTTCTTTTTTACAAAGATTTGACTTTGTAATCAAACATAAGAGTGGTACTCTAAACAAGGCCACTGACGCCCTAAGTAAAAAAGGTTCTTTGCTCACTGTCCTACAAGGAGAAATCATTCCTTTTTCTTCCCTACCCATAACTTATCAAGATGATCCTGATTTTAACATTATATAGACTTGATTTCAACATTATATAGACTCGATATCAACAGCACCAAAATCCCAGGGGATTTTCACATCACCATGGGTTCCTTTTTAAGGGCAATTAACTTTGCATTCCTCACACTTCTTTAAGAGAGACTTTAATCAAAGATCTCCAGGGGATTGGCTAACCATTTTGGCCGTGATAAAACCCTTACTTTAGTAGCAGCACGTTTTTTTTCGGCAAATAGGGAAAGATATATTTAGTTACGTATCTAAATTTTTCATTTGTCAAACAAATAAAGGGACAAAACAAAATACGGGCTTATACATTCCTTTACGTACACCAAAAACTATTTGGGAAGGCCTCTCTATGGACTTTGTCCTAGGTCTACCCCGCACACAACGCGGGTTCGATTCAGATTCAGTAAGATGGCTCATTTTTTTGCATGTAAAAAGACATGAGATGATGTGTATGTTGCTAATTTGTTTTTTAGGGAAATAGTTCGCTTACATGGCATCCCTAAGACTATAGTTTCAGATCGAGATGTCAAGTTTCTCAGCACTTTACATTAAAGCGGAAATTCGATACATTCTTAAAATAAAATACCATCAACCATCCACAAACTGATGGGTAGACGGAGGTGACAAATAGGACTATTGGCAACCTTATACGGTGTATTTGTAGTGACCGGCCAAATCAATGGGATTTAGCTCTTGCACAGGCTGAATTTGCCTTTAACCACATGCAAAATAGAACAACGGGGAAGTCCCCCTTTGAAGTTGTTTACACTAATTTGCCAAGGTTAACTGTGGATCTAGCTAATATACCTCTTTCTATTGATGTTAGTGTCGAAGCGAAGCAGATGGCCAAAAAGGTAAATCAACTACATAAGGAGGTTCGAGAACACATTGAGGCGGTCAATTCCAAGTACACACAGCAAGCGGATACTAAAAGAAGAGTGCAAGAGCTCAAAGAAGGAGACCTAGTCATGATACACCTAAGTAAAGGAAGACTACCTACAAAATACGAGACCGACCTGGCCAAGTTAGCATCGGCGTACGAGACCGACCTGGCCAGGTCGGTCCCCGTCGAGATCTTAGATAATCCCTCGATCTTAGAGCCAGATCTGATGG